TATTTTTGATAATAAAGTCTATATACTCTCCTTAAAAACATTACTTCCTGAAGGCAGGTGCCTTCTCCACTTGTTTATTTTTTCTTCTTCGAAAAACTTTGAATATTTCAATAACAAAATAGACAAAACTTTACCTATTTGATCTATGGTAAAAACACCTTACTGGGAAGAAGAAACCTGTAGAAAAACACTCTCTATTATTCCTTCTCAGATCAGAAACTTTAGAGAAATGAACCACTAGTGAATGTATTTTCTAAGATCCATAAGAACCTTGGGTCCATTATAAGACCTTTGTTAGGACAGGTGGATAAGTTAGCTGGGCCTATTAGTGAATACATTTCCAAGTATGGATCCACTATAAGTAAACTCCTTGGTCAGGCAAGTGAATAAGCTGATAGAAATCTATTGGACAGGTGTATGAACCTTCTCCACCATTCATATATGTCTGTAGATAGTACTTTCAAACATGTTCAATTTTTCTTGGTTTTTTTGGAGAATTTTGCCTACCTCAGTTTGACTCTGAATTTTTTGTTACATCAAAAACTTTGGATGGTGATTGGCTAAAATCTTGGACTGGTTGATCAACAAGTAAAAGAAATGTAAACAAGACACGTATCCATACGTGCCTCATATCATATTACATTATAACTGATAATGTAATTGGATAAAGTGAAAGAGCAAGGTGTCAAGATGTTTTCTTGTTAAGAAGTGTTTGAAAGTCTTCCCCTTCCCTCTTGTGTTGGTTTCTTTTCTCCTCAAGATCAAAGAAGACTCTCATTAGGCTAGTGATTGGTTTTGATGGGGTTTTATATTACCAGCGCAAACTTTTTTTTTTTCCTTTACCCTTTCCCTTTATCTTCTCAAAAATATAAAAATTTTATATCTTAGGACCACAGAGATTAAGTTGGGATGAATAGTTTTAATTGAAGGGCTGGCGATGATATGAAGATTCACAAGAAATAGTGGGTCAAAATAGAGTAACTTTTTTCATTCCCCTTAATCACATCTAGAGACCAGTGGCTGTTAATGGATGTGCCATATATACTGTATGTAATAAATTAATCTTTAGTATAATTACAACCAGTACTATATATATCTACTTTTTATATCTCAGGTAAATTCAAATTGTACCTTGGGTAAATCCCGGCAATGAATGCAAATAAACTTGACTATATGGCCTGATTAGGTGTAAAAAAAAAAAAAAAAAAATTAAATAATTATTTCAATTATAATTTAAATTAATACTGTATAATAAATTTTGTAACATTATATAAAAAATAATTTTAATATATAAAAAAAAAAAAAAATAATGATATTTTTAAATAAATTTTTTAAAAATGATACTTTATATGATTTTTGTAGTAATATAATAATTTAGCTTAGATAATTTAAAAATCAATAACGAAATTTTTATTTTCTAAAGAATTTATATAAAGTTATCAACTATAAAACAAAAATGGTTGGGATCCAATTAAACTTACAGTTAGTATATAAATATTAACATGTATAAGACCATTTAAATACATAGTATGGCAAAAAATAAATATTTTTAAAAAATTTTAATTCACCCTGCACATATAGTAATTCGTTAATTAACTATACTTACAGTATTTATTAAATTTAAAAATTCTGTAAATATTATAATTTTGATTTTTAAGAAAAAAGGCTAATGTAGTATAGGTGAAACACGTTTTTAATCATCAATGGTATACCTATACCACATTTTATCGAATTGTTGATCAGTAAATAACTAATAACTTTGATTTAATAATACATGATGTTAAAAAATTAAGTCACGTAGTTTATTGTGTAAGTAAAAAGGACATGCTCTCAAGCAAATCACATCTATATATCATTGTACAATAATACTTTTGGTTTATGCAGCTAAGCATTATTATAGCTCTTCATGACCTTCATGTGGAACGGAGTCTTTATGGAAGCTCGACAAAATATTTTTGCGAATCGTGAAATCATCTATTTTGTTATCAGATATAGTACCAGATTCAATAATCTTATTAATTCGTGCTATCTCTTTATCCACATAATCTTCTTTTTCCAGCGTTTTTTCCATGACCTTCGGATAATACTTAGCAAACCTGAAGTTGAGAAAAGATGCAGAGAATGAATATTGTGAAGGGGCAAAGATCAAGGAAAAAGATGCGCAAGCAAACATCACAAACCGTGTGTCTAACTCATCGGCTACAACTTTTGCTTCTTTGATCACATTTTCTTTATCAGCTCGCGTCGTTGCATCAGTAAATTCAACTACAAACGCATCCAATTTTGGTATTTTACCAGCCTACGTTACAAGGTATTAAACGTACAACATTTTAGGTGATTGTAAGTTTTACAGTAAACGAATAATGGTGATAATACAACTTACATCTCCGGATAATCTGCCACCGACAAGACGTTGTGTCCCACAATTTTCATTCAAGAAATCAACGAAATCTTGTTCTGTCCTTCCACCCGTATAATCGATAGGGGTCTTATTTTCGCCTTTAGGGAAAAACTTGATGGTGGGATAACCTTTAACATCATATCTATCACCGATGGTACGGTGATCGGAAGCGTCGATGTTGGCCACCACACACTATATTCAAAGAACAGAGTTTAAATCATCAGTTACACCGTAGATTATTGAATTACAGTGATTTTTAATGTGACGTACTTCAGATTCCTGAGCATAATCTTTGGCGACCTTTTCGTATATCGGAGCTAATGTATATAACAACTTTAGGATATCTGAGTAAAATCATTAAGTTGGTGAAATAAAATAGTGTCTCACCCAAATTTTTGCAGTGACCGCACCAAGGTGCATAAAACTCAACCTGTAATTAAAT